AAATCGTCGATATGGTAAAGCGAAATGCGCTTAAAACGTTTTTATTGTGTTTTGTGACAAAGGACCTTCAAACAGTGCTATTTTTCTTCTACTTTCATTCCGTCTACTTCTTTTTTACTTTTTCTTTCCTCTGTAAGGCCGAAGCTGTGTAATCCTTTTTACCACCGGTCCAGTTATACACAATGATGGGGTTTTAATGTGCTGTTCTGATAATTAAACGCGATTGTTACCTGCCTAAATTACCTCACCTACTGTATTTCACCATACCTGAATCCAATAGACTCTCTTCAATCCCTCGAAAACCGTGTCCGGATGTTCAACAGTGCACTCGCGCGGAAACGCATGTATTACCGACAACTGCTTTTGTCAAGACTGGAAGTCCTCCAGGGTATCCTCCACGAGAAGAAGGTAATTCGTAATTGTAGTTTTCGGAGCCCTTGCCCACTTTAGCTGCGTAATCTGCCCATCTCGAGTCGAGAGGCCCGCTGTGTGGCTCGACTGACTGATCTGCGCGACGCGGAGGATTCAGTACTCTCCAAGGCCACTGATAGGTTTCAACAGTAGGCTATCCTGCTCTTCCTTATGCTATTTTAGGTTAATGAATGCTGTGCATCAGAAAGATGATGCTTTGGTGCGGGGCATGGAGCTCTATCCAGGCTAGTTTATATTTTAAGTAAACCGTTTTTACGCATGGTTTCCGCCCGTCCTCTTAGCCTGCATTCCGGCGGTCAAGTGGTTGAGGCCCGCCTTTCTATATTTTTTTCTGTAACATACATTTGAATTCGTATAAACTGGAAATCATGCATCGTCGGAGTTTGCCGCACCAAAAAAGGCCGAAAATTTCTTGAGGCCATGCACTCCGACGATTCATGCATCAACCGCCACATAGAGTTAGATAGAATTTATAAACATCTAAAAGAACAATGAAGGAGACGAGGGCCGCCCAATACAGACTAACAGAAGCCACAACTATCAGTCAGCTCTTCCACCATAAGACTATTGCATTTTCCGCACCGGAAACCAATCTCGAAAATTCACTTATTAAATTTGGCTTTTTATCCCAAAGAACATATTCTTCTTCAAATACATTTGAGTTTATAAGAGTGGTTAAAGTATAATGGGATATGTGCATACTACTTAAGTAGCCATTTTTTACAGAATTTACTTTTTGCATTTGCTCAAAAGGAAACGAATAAACCAGTTCATTAGCCGGCAACTTAACGTTACTAAAATGTCTTGGGATTAGGCCGTACGATAATGGGTATCATAACCATACTTTAGCCCTCTGTCCGTATAGAAAACACATTTCCTAATTTAAGTTGACGTTTCATGAAATAAGGAATATACTGTGCTTGCTTAAGTCTCAGGTCTTACCGAATCGGGATCTTGGTACGGTTCATTGGCTACGACAAATAGGCCAGAAACAACTCTTTAGTCTCAAGTTCACTTACGAAAGCTCTCCAGCTGCTCTCCAAAGCGATACGTTGGTCCGACCAGATTAGTGAAGACTTCTCACACACAGTATCCTTTCTGCAGTCACCCAACTTAGAATTGTCGTAACACCTCCCGCATATTTGGGGACCATTTGAAACAGGATAGGAGAGCGACAACGTCTGGATATTAGCG